TAATAATAATAATAACATAGACAAGGTTTCTTTCATTTGTGTTTTTGAAGGGAAAGGGCAATTTTTGGCTTTACCAGGTTTAGAGTTAATAAATGAATCGTGATGCATCACAGTAATTTATCATGGGTCTTAATTACCCCCTTGATTCCCAAGGATACAAATTTGCATAAGTATGATATTGTAAGTGATACATAACTTACATACCCCTTTAGTAAGAAATTTCTTTCAAGCCAAATACAAGTATAATTTCTATACCTGATCAATTTATGATTCCCGTCAATATGCCACAAGGCTAATGGACCGCTAACAGAATAAACAGCTCTTGGTGTCATGGACAACCATCYGTTGGCTACTCCTTCRTGGTCTATTCTTTGCATCAACTCGCGAACTCTCATCTGAGCAACTTTAATTCCCCCCGCATGAAGCTGTGACAGAACTCTTCGATAGCCAGCACTTGACTCKAAGGACAACGTTGTCAAAGCCCAAGGTCAACATAAAGGTTACGTCGTCTCGAGTGATTCTGAAATTGTACCAAATTTTATTACAGTTAAACCAAATGGAGCTTGCATTTGCCAGTGTAAAGGCTTTAGAGTTGCTTCGCTATGCTCACACTCTCTCCCCGTAGCAAAGGAGAATAATACTCTTGAACAGTTTTTGGTTTGGTTCCATCAACAAGGAGGGCCAAATTTAATTGCCACTGCCTCAACTACCGCGCCCAAAAATACGGGCAGAAAACCAGGGCAGCAAAAGCACGTCCGCAAACGGAAGAGCGACGGAAGTTCAAGAAACGATAAAACAWACACAGATAGACAAAATTGTGGAGCGGACATTCAAGAGGACGATGATGAAGACGCGATCCATTTTAAATTAAAATGGCTGAAAAAAACAAAGGCGAGAATTTGTTACTGATGTGGTGGTAAACTGCGGCCGGATGGAAAGACAGTGCCTGRTGCACCATTTGATGCAGTTTTGACTACCAAAGAGGATCGTTCTTGGTATGACAAAGGGTCAAAAAATACCAAAGTGAGTGCGCATGTAGAGTCTATGTATTACCACATAAATTCAGTGTGTGTTCTAACCCAACATCCAAGTTTTAATGCCTCCAAGCATCTTAAGATAACAGACGATGACTTGAAATCAATGGGAAATGCCCACAAAGAGCACTTAAAAAGCTCTTTAGAATTTGAATACAGCATGTAAGAGAAGACGAATAAAAGTTTTTGAAATATGAGTTTTGAAATGTAATAAATGATAATACATAAAGAAAGGGAGACAGTGAGGAGTAGGCGAATTCGTTTGCACAACAGCAAACGACAGCAAAAAATCGCAGCATACGTTATAATTATGAATAATCAAATATGAATAATTAATAAAACTGGGGTACCTTACAGCTGACGAGATTAAGGATGCTGAGCACATTCTATGCAAAAAGGTACAGCAGAATGCCTTTCAAGAAGAAATAAAGTTGCTTCAACAAGGAAACCCAGYAAGCAAGTCAAGCAGTATCGTTAAACTCAACCCACAAATCAATAAGGATAGTGGTCTTCTGGTTGTGGGAGGAAGATTGGAATTTGCTCTCAGAAGAAGCCAAACACCAGGTGATACTGCCTCACAAGTGTACTATTACAGAGAAGATTATATTAGACGTACWTTCTAAAGCGAACCACGCTGGACCTGAAACCACACTAAGCATTATTCGSCAAAGATTTTGGATCACACAAGGAAGAAGAGAGGTGAAGCGAATATTACGCAAGTGTTTGGTCTGCAAGCATTGGAAAACAAAGCCAGTTGAGCAGAAGATGGCTCCCTTGCCTGCAGACAGAGTACAGATTGTACCACCATTCACCAATATTGGTCTTGATTTTACTGGCCCTCTTTACCTCAAGACAAAAGAAGGAAACTCCACTCCTGTGAAAGCGTACATATGTATCTTTGTATGCGAAGATACACGAGCTGTTCATCTCGAGCTCACAAACAACATGAAAACAGAAGAGTTTCTACAAGCTTATCGCCGCATGGTTGGTCGACGTGGGGTACCAAGAGTTATACGTTCTGATAACCAGACCACGTTTCACAAGGCAAACAAGAAAGGAGCTCTGTCACTTCCATCTTCCCCAAVTCTTCACTGTTTGGAGCTACTTTATCTGGCCACTCACTAACATCACGCGCTAGCCACTCTGGGCCTTTCCACCAATTCTCATTATCAATTAGTCGTGGTAGTGGTTCTCCGCGTGTCAGTAAATCTGCGGGATTTTGCGGTCCGGGACAAAAGTGCCATTGTGATGGAGAAACGTTCTCTTTAATCTCTTGTACACGATTTGCCACGAACACCTTGCACTTCGGTGAGCACACGATGCCATCCTTCAGAAGGATACATCTTCGGAAGCCTTTCCGACGAACCGACTCCGAAGCCGACGACTTGGATCCGATTGTTTCCGACAATTTGAAGAGTTCAGTTGCTGATTTTGCCACTTTTTCTCGTTTCTTTTCACATGCTATCCAATATTTATCGTTTCCTGACATTAATCATTAATAAAAATGAAGTTTTTGCTTTACAATTGAACACTTTAATCATGTAAATCGAGCGGCGAAAGCTTATTGCGAAATATGTCCTTTTCACGGATGGCCGATCACTTATCCCCTTACCTAAGACGCCTTACCATACGTCAGAAGTAGGCGGAAACGGAAACCACTGCAAGAACCGAGATGCTGTGAGACTGGGCCTAAGGCGGGAAATATATGATTTGTTGGCGGGATATTCCAATGTTGTTGATTTGGTTTGGCCTGTGATTATTATATATTTTAAAAATACGGATAGATTTTGACTTTAGTTTCAGTAACAGTTTTTCGAATTCTATGTGAGTTCAAAGTTTTCACCTCCAGATGTCTGAACYGGCAGGTCAACATGCTGACCTTATGTCTTTGACCGGCTTTGAAATCAAATTGTCTGATAGATCAGGTCTTGTACGACCTGGAGAAGAACTCCGACTTTTGCGTGGATATGAAACGCTCACAACAACAAAGTTTTCTTGTTATAAAGTGGCTAAAGGATTTGGCAACACAGGTAAGTTCAGTTCTATTTTGAACGTTTAATACTTGACTTTAATCTCACTTAGCTTCCCATCAGATCTTTGAATATTTTCAAAGAGATCGTGGGTTGCAATTGATGTATAGCACTGTAGTCTACCCTCCATAACATAAAATAGTAAAATGGAATAACATAAATAACAATGCAATAAAATATTAATGATAAATAATAAATCGACAAATTTATAAATGAATAATGAATGGGAAATCCAATGAATGGGAATACCCCAACCTTTATTAATGGAAACAATTAGAAAAAACATAGTCCCCCTGCATGCCAGTTAATAGACTGTGAGTGAGTCCCCTTTTCCCTCCCAAGGCAGTAAATAATAAGAAAAAACGCGGGCTTCCTGTGGCCCACGCCGGAAGTTTATCGGGTAGACGGGATACCCGATAAACTTCCGGCGTGGGCCACAGGAAGCCCGCGTCTCTCTTTTCTTATTATTTACTGCCTTGGGAGGGAAAAGGAGACTCTCTCGGGCTACACACAAAAAATATAGAGAGAAATAATGCATTACCCTTTACGAGTGTTTTTGTTCATTGCAGACTTTACGAAAAAAAAAACACAATGTTAAATGGGGCAAGGATCTCATTCCTTTCATGATAGTAAATACCAAAGTGTACGACTGCCAGCATGGTGTGGACCATCACTCCTCCAAAAAACAAAAACTGAAGCTACAAAAAATGAAGGTCAGTTTCAAATTTGGATTAATTATGCTTTATACTGCACAATAAATGTTTCTTTAAATCATGTACGTCTAATTATAATTTTAATTCCATATAGGACGCAGACCATTTCTACCCTTAAAAGTCTGCAAAATTTGTACAGGATTCCATCAAATTGCGTTGTCCAGCCAAAGTTATAATGAAAGAGATTGTAAAGTTTCCAGATTTCAAAGTAAGTTTATTTTTAGTCGTGATTCTATTTCTGGTTTATAGTGAAATCTGTTTTTTTTACGATTATCAAATCATTCACAGATCCCTAAAGATACTGAGTCCTACCGAAAAAGAGGATCAGTCAACATTCGAGAAGCGGTAGCTACCAAGAAAATCAAAGAAGTCGACCGTTGGGTACAAATAGATTTTCCTTCTACTACGGAACATAAAATTCATCCAATTGGAAATGTAAGTTTACACACAGAAGTATGCATTATTATAGTGAGAGTGCTTGGTGCAAATGATATATCAATAATAATTTGTGAGGCGTCTGATGCCTCGCAATCGAATTTTCCACCTTTCTCTTCTGGCTACAGTGACTCCACCCTCCCTCCATGTCTCTCCGGCTATATTGTAAGATAGAATCGGATAAAAACTGTGTAATGAACCATGTTTTGTCCAATGGTGAGGGATAATTATACTGGTTTGCTTGTTTGCGCATTTGTTTATTCTGTTTCTGACAAAATTTTAAAATCATATTGATTAAATTAATTTTAAAAATTCAATGTTCACAAGACAGGAGGCATTCATCAGCGCATTGATCAACGCTTGATTAAGAAAATACAAGATCTTGTTTCCGAAGGTTAGAATAATTAGAATTTTTATCGTATATTGTATTTATATTATTGTATGTTCATAATACGCAATTCAGCTTCCGGGCTGTGATGTATTTTCCAATAAAATCTATCTATCTATCTACTAAAGGTGCAAGATCAGTGAGAGAAGTGAGGAGGCACCTTAGGATACACGTTCATCAGGAGCTGTACCGAGGAGAAAGTGTTCCTCCTAAAACAAATTTGAGGTTTTTTCCAACGAAAAGAACTATAAGAAACCATATCTACAAAGCGGTGGTAAAAGACCGTTTTTCAAAGTTCGATCAAGAAGATCTTCAGAAAAAGGTGGAGCAGTGGAAAAGCATGTCCGGAAGACCACTTCTTCTTCAGGCCATACAGCGAGTTTTCAGAGTGTACTTTAAATGGCGATGAAGAAGTCGATGAAGACATAATTAAGACGCATGGTGATGGCCTGCTTTTCGTACATCAAACACGATACCAGAAACACCTACTCCAACGCTATGGTGATGAGCTCTCCCTTCTAGACGCAACGTACAAAACCACTAAGTATAGTTTGCCATTGTTTTTTGTTGCTGTCAAGACAAACGTTGACTATCAAGTAGTTGCGTCATTTGTCACGCAGACAGAAACGACCGAGGCGATTCGTGAGGCCCTGGAAATGATCCACTCCTGGAATAAGGAGTGGATGCCTAGATACTTTATGGTGGATTACTCCGAAGAGGAAATGTCAGCAATATCCGCCGTGTTTCCAAGTATGTTTATGCTCTAGTTAGGCGTTTCCTGTGCGTTTTTCTACTGTTGTCGCGAGTCAATTTCCACTACAATAACAATGCTCGATTGTTATTTATTATTCCTGTAGTAATTAATTTGTTATTATAATAAGATTGAGGGTGTAATATTGGTTGTTCTTGTTGTTGTCGTTGGTGAATGCGAATTATTTCTCACTGAAGTACTAAAACTGTTTAAAATAAATGAATTATTTTTCTTTCGTATAGATGCTGTGACCTACATCTGTGACTTTCACAGAGAACAGGCGTGGGAGCGCTGGCTATCAAGGGGCTCCAATGGTCTTTTGGACTGTAAAGGCATAGTATTGGCTCGATTACGTGCAATTGCCAGGTCCCGAAATGAACCCGAATATTTGAGTGCTGTCGAAAGACTGAAGTGCAGTCCACAATGGGAAACAAGTATTGCATTAAGAAATTGGATGGAAAAAACATGGTTGCCTAAGTACCAGGTTTGTTTCAAACTATTCTCTAAAGTCTCATTTTGTACTCAAGCCCCTCAATGTCAATTTGACACATAGGGTTAGTTGTGAATTTTTGCCTGTTCCTTTCACTACAGAAATGGGTGTGGGCATTCCGTAAAAACCGCCTTCTGACTATCGTCAACACCAACAATGGAGTGGAACGCCAAAACAAAGCTTTCAAGTATGAATATCTTGATGGTTATAAGCATTCCACTCTCTCAGGGATGTTAACTGTTCTGATTGATGACTTCCTTCCTGATAAATACTTCAAGTAAGTATCAGGGGTATAGTATCAGGGGTATAGTATCAGGGGTATAGTATCAGGGGTATAGTATCAGGGGTATCCGTAATTTAATTGTATTGTAATATTTAAAATAGTAAAATTCACTGCAGCTATGATAATTTTAATGCGGCTTTTAGCCGTTGAATGTATATCTCCAACTGTACATCAAGACAAAAAACCCTTATATACTAAAAAGATATAGCATAAGATAACTTGTGTAATAGTGAAACGTATTTTTATAGGTATGTTGAATTTAACACGAAACTTGGTGCTAATTGTCGAAGATACAGCGCTAGTATCCCCACCTACTTGAGAGAGCGCCCTCACCACATTATTAACCACTGTCTGGAGAGGCTATCTGGATCAGAAGATATCCCTGATACTATGGTGAAGGTAGTAAGCATTGAGGAAGGCGTATTTAGAGTTGGCCAATATACAGTGTCTTTTGGTGACGACTTTCAACAGGCAAACCAACCAAGTTGTGAGTGTGTTGACTGGGAAAAGTACCGATTGCCTTGCAAGCACTTTTTCGCAGTTTTCCGCCATGTTCCATCTTGGTCTTTCGATAGGCTTCCAGAGTCTTACAAATTCTCGCCATTTTTGAGTCTTGACAAAGACCTGATTCTGGATTACCCCACAACTGACGCAACTCAAGAGATCCCTGATAGTTTTCAAATAGCGGAGGAGGAAGAAAAAGTGAAGGAAAATCGACTGCCTGGCCATGGCTCATTGCTGTCAAATAACATTCCAACACCAAAACCAAGACCTAGGACAGCAGCTTCAAAGTCTCGCGAGTTGTTAGGCCAAATAAAGAATTTGACATATATCGCAGAGGGATGGGATAACGGAGAAATCTTGGTCGATCTCAACGAGAAACTAGAAGAATGTCTCGCATTATTAACAGAAGCATCGCCAAAAGAGCATGGTTTAGTTCTTGAAGTACCAGACAAGAAAAAAAAATGCACCAAGTCAGCAACAGAGAAAACTGACATGCCATACGATGAAAAGTTTCGAAAGCAGCTTCCATTAAACAATAGGAAGAATCCCTATTCTGGCCGGTTCGGAGAAAAGGCAAATATAATGAAGCGTTCTGTACTAGTGTCCAACCTTGATGGTATGTTAGATAAACCCGCGCCACCGAAAAAGAAAAAACAAGAAGAGATATACGTGAATTAATGTGTTGAAAACATCCTTGTCGTTGATGATGATGATCCAATTGATGATGATGATCCCACTGAAACAGCTTGCCATGAAGATCAAGATTTAGAAAGTGATAATGATGACGTTGAGATTCTTGAAGTAAAGGAACTTTCTCCTTCAAAGCAAAACAAAAGACCCAAAATCATTTTGACGGAAGAAGAACGGACTGCAATTACAAAGGGAGCAATGCTCACTGATGAATCAATCAACATTGCTCAAAATCTATTATTTAACCAATTCCCTTACCTAGCAGGCCTAGAAAACACGACATTGGGACCTCTTGGCGGTTTTTCAAAGGCAAATGGACAGCGCTTTATTCAGATTCTACATACTGGCCGCACACACTGGGTCTGCTGCTCCAATATCAACTTTGAGGACAATCCTATGACTAATGACGTGAATTTCTTCGATAGCCTTTTCCACGGAACGATTACAGTAAAAACAAAAGAACAGATTTCGCAGATCCTTAAGCCGACTGGTGATCTAACAGCGAAAGTCATGCCCGTGCAGCAGCAAACCAATGGAACCAACTGTGGACTGTTTGCAATCGCCTTTGCCACCAGCATTGCTTTCCAGGAAGACCCAGCTCTAGTTTGCTATGATGAACCAGCAATGCGATCCTATCTTTTGGATTGCATTGATAAAGGTAAAATTGGACCATTTCCAAAACTCCTCCCTGGACGCTTGGTTAAAAGATGCAAAACCAAATCTATTGTTGTAGACCTCCACTGCACCTGTCGGATGCCTTGGAACCGGTACGCAAAGAAAACACAGAAACGGATGGCAGAATGTGAGGGATGTCTACAATGGTTTCACCAAGATTGCGAAGATATTCCTGAGGAGGTGTTCCAGAACGAATTAGAATGGGTTTGTTCTAAATGTTCTGCTGTTTGATCATAACTTTAGCCTCCTTTACGAAAAACTTGAATATTGCTATGGGCACCTTCAATATTTAAAGTGCTACTTGCATGAAAATGGACTTATTTCAAAACTTCAAGCAATAGAAATATATGACTCATTTTTATCTATTAAAAACAATTACGGAAAAATATTTGTTTTGGAGTTATCCCACATAAGAGAAATTTTGATTCAAAAGATGGAAGAACAAAAGGATGGAGTAAATGACGTCATCTATTGCCCAAATTAAGTATTTGTATCAATATCTTGTTGGAATCTGTTGCTTCAGGATTATTACACCCATATGGATAGGTCTATTTGATTTCCAAGTCTTTTCTAATGTTTCGCATTTTCGTCCAAGTAGCCCTTTAAACAAACTTTGCGTATCGCCAGCAATGCGTTATTAAGAAATATTGCAGACAGACAGATAGACAGGTATGCATGTAACTTTTCATGTATAAGACAAAAACACAATGATAACAAAAGAGGGTCATGAAGGGGTAAAATGGGAAGATTGGCCTGATTTTGAGCTTGGAATTTTTGTCACTGGAAATGGGAAACAGAGCACCAGGATGGGAATGGGATTTGCCTTTTGGCGTGCATTTTTGGCATTTTTTATTTAATGATTTTTGAATTTTTTGTATTGTTTGTTTTTTTACTTTATTTTTTTTTTATTTCGCCAATTTATTTTTTCGCCGATTTAATATATGCAAATAAAGTAATTTTCTAATTTTTTTAAACATAGATTGGGAATGGGATTTTGAAGACTGGGAATGGGATTTTGAAGAAAAGTAGACTGGGAAATGGGATTCAGGACCCTCACAAAAGCAATATAGTCTTAGCTATAAATGATATGCTCTTCGTCAGTCTCAGCTGTGAAAAAATGCGTGCATATTAATAAAAAAGGTAAACCAACAGTGCAATTGTAAAGATTAGAGTGGTTCTCATTAACCCGTGAAATACACTTAAGCGTAACACACTCAATTACACTTTGATTACACTTTGTCTCTTTTGTTTTCTATTATATTTCTTGGCTATTACACGTTATTACACTTTATTACACTTTGACTATTACACTTTGTTTCACGGGTTAATGAGAACCACTCTATAACGCAATAAAAGAACATCTTAATGGAACATGAAACTAATCAAAAGAAAAACAATGCAAAGGATATAATTTTTTTAAAAGAATAAAGTATCTTTTCAGTTCTAAAAAAATATAAAAAAAAATATGGTTATGAAAACATGAAATACGTTTCCAGTTTCCCAACAGAACACATATAAATGCACACAGAAGCTATCCTATAGTGTATTTCATAAATTTAGAAAATCATTTTTTTATAACGAAATAATACACGCGTATGATGCGTAATTAAGATGTCTACTAATAAAATCATATCCTTCTGACGTATGGTAAGGCGTCTTAGGTAAGGAGATCAGTGATCGGCCATCCGTGAAAAGGACATATTTTGCAATAAGCTTTCGCCGCTCGATTTACATGATTCAAGTGTTCAATTGTAAAGCAAAAACTTCATTTTTATTAATGATTAATGTCAGGAAACGATAAATATTGGATAGCATGTGAAAAGAAACGAAAGTGGCAAAATCAGCAACTGAACTCTTCAAATTGTCGGAAACAATCGGATCCAAGTCGTCGGCTTCGGAGTCGGTTCGTCGGAAAGGCTTCCGAAGATGTATCCTTCTGAAGGATGGCATTGTGTGCTCACCTTCCACTTCTGACTGGGCTGCCTTATCCACGCAAGGACCACTTGGGAATCCGTCCAACATCTGGCTTGTGTTATATCTATCGTTATGGACTCCTGTATTGTCTTCATAATTCTTGAAAGAATCAAGGCTCCAAGCAATTCCAATCTTGGAAGGCTTACTCTCTTTGTTGGCGCGACCTTGCTCTTTGAAAGCATAAGATGAGTTTGGACCTTATCACTAACATCTTTGCATCTGAGATAAACAGCGGCACCGTAGGCTTTCAGACTAGCGTCACAGAATCCATGTAGCTCCACTTCAGTGACATCATCACTCTCCRCAAACGGACATCGAGGTATTTGCAACTCGGGTAGWWACTTCAGCTCTTCTTTCCAACTCYTCCACTCAGTTTTGGTRTCTTCATCAAGAAACTCATCCCATTGGATGCCTTTAGACCAAAGGTCTTGAAACATTATCTTTGTCCTTACTGTGAAGGGACCAAGTAAACCAAGCGGGTCGAATAACTTTGACGCTGTACTAATAAGACTTCTCTTTGTCTTCTCTTTGTCTCATCACACTTCAGCAGTGTTTCGCCTTGGTTGAATTTGAACGTATCTTCTCTTGTGTTCCAAGAAATACCAAGTACTTTTAATGGCTCCTCTTTGTTGCTTACTGGAACTAGCGGGGCTGTTCCTCTTAGATCAGGTTCAATGAGTTCGTTCAAATCCTTTGAGYTGGTATACCATTTAACGAGTTCGAATCCACCTTCCTTCAATAAAGAACATAGGTCTTTGWGCAGTGCATATGCTTTGTCRACATCATCTGCACCAGTTAAAAGATCATCTACGTACATATTTTCTTGTACCTCCTTGGATGCACATGGATACCTATCTTTGKTGATCRAACAGTGGTGTTGCACTGTGGCAATGGCTTGAAATGGACTGYTTATGACTCCAAATGTTACTCTGGTCATGCAGTATACTCTTGGTCTTTCATTTGGATTCTCTCTCCACAGGAAACGATGACAATTTTGATCACTTTCTGCCAGCTTGATTTGCAAAAACATCTTTTTAATATCAGACATCATCGCGATTTTATTAAGTCGAAAGCGGAGTAAAATAGATACTAAGTTTGGTTGGAGTGCAGGACCCGGCAGCAGACAATCATTCAAAGAAATGCCATCTTTATTTCTTGCCGAAGCATCAAATACCACTCTGCACTTTGTCGTCGTCTTGTCTTCGCGGATAACCKGATGGTGTGGCAAATAGAAAACTGGTTGTTGTGCGGCATCTGAATTGTTAATTTGTCTTGCGTGCCCATCATCAAAATACTTCTGCATCGCTTCTTTGTACATCTTTTCTTTCTTCTTGTCTTTATGCAGAGATTCTTCGATTTTTACCATCCTCCTTAGTGCCTGGTTATAATTGGCTTGCAACTTTGTAGAGCCAGAACGCCATGGTAGCCCGACTTCATAACGTTCACCGTCATATTTGATCTTAGTGTGAAACTGATTCAACGCGTCCCTTTCTTCGGCGCTCATTTCTTTTAAGTCCTGACCATCARTTATGCCAATTGACTCCAGCTMCCAGAACCTTTTTAGATTGCTGTTGACTTCTTTGTAAACATCTTCTTCGATTTTGACGACTGCACAGTTCGAGATTGACTTCTGTTGAGTTWCGTTTGGTGATGTCTCATCGACGGATCCGCTCAGTAACCATCCAAAAATGGAATTAACTGCAAATGGTGTTGAAGCAGGGCCCTTTCTAACTCCATTTAGCATAACTTGACCCCATTGATCAGCTCCAATCAATACGTCTATTGTGGAGGAGCTCCGTGGAAATTCATCGGCCAAGCTAAGACCTTTGAGATGCTTATAACGGCTAACGTCGAGCTGCACCGGATCAAGAGGTGCGCACACTGTACTTACAGACCATGCTGATAGTTTGATACGTCGTGTGCTGCCTGTGTGATTTGAAACTTGAAA